AAAAATGGGGATTAAGGGCATTAAAATAGGTTAGGAGCACAAAGATAAAAACTAGGACAAAAATACACTTCCTAGATTAAAACAAAATTGAAGTTAAAGAGCAAAGAATGCACATCTTGCAGAAAAAGAAACATAGCCAATGTAATGAAATATGCACAGCTACAAAATGTGATAGACCAAACATGTCAATCATGTCAATATCAAGAGGCTTCACTCACCTATTACGACGGATTTTCAATTTGGATCACAAATCAGGACAAACTTAGTGTCGTATGTAAGACGGGGACCTAAAACAAAGGGATTCCCAAAGGCTAAAATAAAGAAGTAGACAAATGCGTACTGGGCAAATGGGAACACTAAAATGCAAGGTTAATGCTTCTGAACACATACAGTAGCATTCAAGTCCCCGAAGCATTAAGCATGACAAAACAGGGCATGTCAATGCTAAAAGTCACAGTTCATAAAGATAGAATATTTAGGAATATGTGTGTGCTGTATAACATGGCAACCACCTTCATGAAGTAAAACTCCAGGGGTTGAAATTATACATAGAGACACACCATCATTTCTTCACTGAGACTAACATGCACTCAGTCCAAGACAAATCAAGAGGACAGAAATCAAGTATGTGGAAAACCTTGACAACACAGTCAAGGTCAACCTTATGCACATGGAGACACACCTCTTTCAGCGCTTCACTTTAGTGTACCTTGTGGATATTGCGGTTTTTACAAGTTGAGGGTTTGTGACAACCCAGCATTGAACAAGTCTGTTGGTGCCAATTTTCCAGTCGCGTGTGCTCACTTCACATCTCTGTGTGATATTTTGCTAATTTTCACAATATATTAAACATCATTACTATTAATCTGCTATGGTGATCTGCGATCAGTGATCTTTGCTGTTACTATTGTAATTAAGGTACCATGAGCTGTGCCCATATAAGATGCTAAATGGAATCCATAGATGCTGTGTGTTCTGACTGCTCCTTGGGCCTCCCTATTTTCCAAGGCACAACAACATTGAAATTAAGTCAGTTAATAACGTAACATGGCCTCTAAGTAAGTGTTCAAGTGAGAGGAAGCGTCCCATTTCTCTCACTTTAAATCAAAAGCTAGAAATGATGAAACTCAGTTAAGAAAGCGTGTTGAAAACCAAGACAGGCCAAAGGCAAGGACTCTTGTGCCAGTTAACCAGGCTGTGAGTGCACAGGGACATTATTGAGGGAAATGAAAAGTGCTACTCCAGTGAACACACAAACGTGAAGAAAATGAAACAGCCTTATTGCTGATATGGATAAAACGTTTTCGTGGTTTGAAGAGAAGATCAAACCAACGACAACATTCTGTTAAGCCAAAGCCTGATCCAGAGAAGCCCTAACTCTTTAGTCCTATGAAGGCTGACAGAGGTGAGGAAGCTGCAGAAGAAGAGTCTGAAGCCATCTCCATAGCAAAAAAGTGCAAAATGAAGCAATAAGTGCTGGTGGAGAAGCCGCAGCAAGTTCTCCAGAAGATCTAGCTAAGATCAGTGATGAAGGCGGCTACACAACACATTTTCAATGAAGAAACCACCTTCTATTGGAAGATGCCATCTAGGACTTCCATAGCTAGAGAGGTAAAGTCAAAGCCTGGCTTCAAAGCTTCAGAGGACAGGTGGACTCTCATGTTAGGGGCTAATGCAGCTGGCGACTTTAAGTTGAAGCCCATGCTGATTTCCCATTCTGAAAATCCTAGGACCCTTAAGAATGATGCCAAATCCACTCTGCCTGTGCTCTGGACATGGAACGACAAAGCCTGGATGACAGCTTTGGTTTACTGAATATTTTAAGCCCACCGATGAGACCTACTGCTCAGAACTAAAGATTCCTTTCAAAATATGACTGCGTATCGACCATGCACCTGTCACCCAAGAGCTCTGATGGAGATGTGCAAGGTGATTGATGTTGCTTCCCTGCCTGTGAACACAGCCACCATTCTGGAGCCTACAGATCAGGCAGTCATTTTGACTTTCAGGTCTTATTATTTAAGAAACACACTTTGTAAGACGGTAGCCGCCGTAGATAGTGATTCCTCTGATGGATCTGAGCACAAAGCACATTGAAAGCCTTCTGGGAAGGATTCACCATGCTAGACGCCATTAATGACATTGGTGATTCATGGGGAGGAGGGCAAAATAGCATGAACAGGAGTGTGGAAGAAGTTGATTCCAGCCCTCACGGATGACTTTGAGGGGCTCAAGACTTCAGTGGAGGAAGTAACTGCAGATGTGGTAGAAATAGCAGAACTAGAATTAGAAGTGGAGCCGGAAACTGCGACTGAAGTGCTGCAATCTCACGATCAAACTTGAACAGATGAGGAGCTGCTTCTTATGGATGAGCAAAGAAAGTGGTTTCTTGAGAATGGAATCTATTTCTGGTAAAATGTTGAAGATGCCGGTGAAATGACAACAAAAGATTTCGAATATTCCATAAACTTATTTGATAAAGCAGTGGCAGGGGTTGAGAGAATTGACTCCAAATTTGAAAGAAGTGCTACTGTGGGTAAAATGCTCTCAAGTAGCATCACGTGCTGCAGAGAAATCGTTTGGGAAGGGAAGACTCCATGAATGCTACAAACTCCATTGTTGTCTTACTTTTAAGAACTTGCCAGATGCCTGAACCTTCAACAACCACCACCCCGATCAGTCAGCCGTCTTCACCACCCACCAGCAAGAAGATTACCACTTGCTGAAGGCTCAGATGGTCATTAGCATCTTTTAGAACAAAAGTATTTTTAAATTAAGGTAGGTACGTTGTTCTTTAAAAAGACATAATGCTGTTGCCCACTGAACAGACCACAGTGTGGTATAAACAGACTCTGTGTGCACTGGGAAACACAAAGGCACATGTGACTCACTCTATTGTGGTGGTCTGGAACCGAACCCGTAATGTCCCAAGACAGGCTGGTATCTCAAACTCTGTGCCCTGACAGCAGAAAATACACCTCCTTCTTGAGTGCCAGTGGGACATTCACAAAAAGCCTTTAGAAGATTAGTAAATTCCATAAGCTAAAATCACGACAGACCACACTCCCTGACCACGGTGCAGTGGAACTAGAAGTGACCCACAGAACCACAGGTGTGCTTCCACATGGGAATTAGAGACCTCCCTGGGAACAACTTTTGGGCTCTGGGAGCTTGTGACAGCCCTATTCTGGTGGCTTCGAAGTGCTCGGTGAAATGGGAGCAAGGTCAGCAGCTGGGGCCAGGGACCTGTGTGTGTGTAGGAGTCACTGTCTTCCTGCCAGGTGTGCCCGGGCCGGAAGAAGGGAGACAGTGGGGACAGGTGAGCAGGAGCAGGAGGGGCGCAGGGCAGTGCATGGTGGGTCCAGGGGCAAGGCTCACTGGGCCTGGGGGGTAGCTGTAAAGATGGGAGTGCTTGAAGCTGGTGATGGTCACACCAAGGGATGGCCAGGGCAGTGGGTGGCTGCGGGGGATGGAGGACAAAGTTCTTGGGAGAGACGAGATCCGGCCTGGAGAAGTCAGAGTGAGGGGCAGACAGGGAAGTCCCCAGGAGTCAGGTGGGGGGAGTGAGCTAGGGGGTGTCACTGACCGCAGCAAGAGGCCATCCAGGGCAGGTGCGTGGTAGGCGGGTAGCAGGGGGTGTGGACTGAGGACTTGGGGCCCAGAGCTGGGATTTTGTGAAGGAAGGGCTATAAGCAGTGACGAGGACCCTAGCCATCTCCAGGCCCAGGGCTCTGAGGGCTGTGAGAGAAAACCAGCCCCACCTGAGAGGGCTGTGGTGGCCTCTGGGGGATGTAGTGGGGGGGTTCTCTGGAAGGTCAGGAAGGAGAAGAGAGTGTGGATGAGGAGAGACAGAGGGCTTTGCTGCTCAACGGTGGGGTTTGGTGTGAACTGGGGTCTTGCCAGGAGCACCCAGGGTCCTGTGGCCTCTCCTCAGGACAGGGTGGCTGGGCTGGGGCAGGTGTTTCATGTGGAGCCAGGACAGGAGATGGTGGGCAGTGCCTCCCCTGTGCCCGCCCAGGAGGCGTGCGATGATGAACAGATGTGGGTTCCCTCCATACACCCAGCCCTATGGGGATCTGTGTGGGCCGTGATAGGGGCAGACGGGAGGGCAGAGGTCACCACCCTGCTTGGGGGAGGCCGGGGGTGGGCAGTGAGGGAAGGAGGGGCAGGCACCTGTCCAGCGGGATGGAGATGTCCAGGAAGGTGGCGACCAGCTCGAGGGTGTGGCTCCGGGCCAGCAGGGTGATGGCGTGCAGGGCATTTTCCTTGGCTTGGGGAATGCGGAGGGAGCACAGGAGGAGGCGGATGGCCTGGCCCACGCTGGCAACCTGTGCAGAGAGGGAGAGGTCTGGCAGGGAGGCACGGCCCTGCCCTGGGTGCCTGGAGGCAGAGGGAGGTCTCGCCCTGATGAGCCCAGAGCCCCTTCAGATACCGCCCTGTCCTGAGCCATGTGAGTGGGGGCACAGCCCTACCCTGGATGCTTGGTCTAAAGAGAAGTCCCAGTCTGGGGGCACAGGTCCCACCATGTTCTGCATGGCATTTGAGGTCTCCGTATGCTGTCCACGCTGCCCAGGCAGGCACTGGAAGGTCCAGGACCCCGCCTCCCATCTCATTCCTAAACATGCCACTTTGCACATGCGGCACCCTGTGCCGGGGGCGCCCTGCCTTCTCCTTGGGGTCTCACCTGCTAACCCCTAATGCCCAGTGCCAGTCTCCCTGCCTGAGCTTGCCCACATGCAGGACTTGGCACTGGGCATCCTCTCTCTGGGGTGCACCCCTCATCCCCTGTGTGGTCCCCCTCCCCCACCAACAAATCCCCATATACTGTCTGGGTAACATCTGCCTGTGTGTCCCTGACTTCCCCGAGACCTCAGCTCCCCGAGAGGCTGGTCTGTGCTGTTCCCATCCTTTCCCACCATTCCCATATTAGGGCACACAGTAGCTGCTCAGACCCTGAAGTCACCACCCAGGACCCAGGGGACTTGCTTGGGCCATTCATTCATTCATTCATTCGTTCATCAGACTAGTTGCTGCCCAGGATGGGATCTGTGTCTCCATCAGGCCCAAGGACCTGAGCCCCGGATGCTGACCGCTGGGCCCACCCTCCACCCCCTGGCCCTTCCTGGCCTGGCTCCAGTGCCCTCACAGTCTTCAGCTTGGCCCTGTGCTGCTGGATGACTGCAAGCAGCATCTCGGAGGCCGCCTGCACGCGGAAGGGGCTGGTGGAGCCCAGGCCGTCCATGGCTGTCCAGACGAGGTCATTCAGCTCCTCTGGCGTGAGCTGCTGCGTGATCTCCTGTACAGCAGGGGTGGAGAGAGGCCGTCACCTTGGGCCACCTGTGCCAGGGCACCTGCCTCCCCACTTCCGCTTTTACTCCTTCTCCTTTGTTCCAGGCTCTCCCAAGTCTCTGAGCATATCTGGCCTCCTCAACCCCTCTCCTCCGGGTTCCAAGCACCTGCCGGCGATTTGCGGTCTAGACGTGCGAATTTCCACATCTGTCAGAGCCAACCACGGCCTGGGCTCTTTTCCACATTCAGACCCCGTGCCTGCTGCAGGACCGCGTGGCCAGGCCAGTCTCCCCCCACCTCCTCGCTGTGCTCTGCCCATAGGACTTCCTCATCCACCAGCCTCAGCCCGGTGGGGTCCTCCCCTGCAGCCAGGGCCCAGTCGTCCTTATGAGCATTTGTCAAGGAGAAAGTGAACTTCCAGGCTGTGAAGGAGCTTCAAGGTCACCTGTGCCAAGCCCCAGGCCCAGAAGGGTACGTGGGCTGCCCTCAGCCTTGGAACAGGTGGGGGTGGGTGTGGCCAGGACCCAGCTCCTTGTTCCCATGGCAGCGCTGTCCCAGGACCCTGCCACCCTGTGTGCATCTCCTCCCAGGAGTGGCTCTAAAGGGGCAGGAAGGTGGGTCTCACCTCCACAAGCAGCCGTGAGCTCAGGGGTAAGGAAGGGGCTCTCGAGAGATGCACGATGGTAGGTGTGACCCCCGCCTCATAACCTTAGACTATAGCCTCCTGGAGGGGGGACCGGGGCTTGGTCACTGCTGCCCAGGTAGAACTTTCTGGAAAGACTTTGGGCAGTGCTACTAGCTACACACAGCTATTTACATTTCAATTTAAGTAAAATTAAAAATTCAGTTCCACAGTGGTACTAGCCACATTTCAAGTGCTCGCTGGCTCCCTGTGGGCCAGTGGCTACCATGGGAAGTGCAGAGATAGAACACGCCCATTCTCACAGAGGGATCTCTGCGCAGTGGGGACGCACAGCATTCAACCAAAGGAAGTTAGAAACTGGTGAAGGAGTGGTAGGAGGGCAGTCTGATAGAAAATCAGGGCGTTTGCAAGGACATCAGGATGGCAATGCTTCTTTGCATGTTAGGATATTTGTTGGAGTGCTTGCAAGTCTGTTAGGTTATTTCTAAGTATATTAGAACATAAAAATAAGTGTTAATACTTGATGTTAGAATTTTTTTTTTTTTGAGATGGAGTTTTGCTCTTGTTGCCCAGGCTGAAGTGCAATGGCATGATCTCAGCTCACAACAACCTCTGCCTCCTGGGTTCAAGGGATTCTTTTGCCTCAGCCTCTCAAGTAGCTGGGATTACAGGCATGAGCCACCACACCCAGCTAATTTTGTGTTTTTAGTAGAGACGGGGTTTCTACAAGTTTGTCAGGCTGGTCTCAAACTCCCGACCTCAGGTGATCCGCCTGCCTCGACCTCCCAAAAGAGCGTGTTTACCTGCCACTCCCTCCATACGTGGTGTGCTCTGGTCATGCCCCTGCCCTGCCCTCCACTTTAAGGCTTTGATCTTGATGACTTGGGAGCTGCCAAGCTGGAAGAAGTGGTTCTTCGCCATCTCCTGGGGGCCCAGGGTAGTGGTCTTCTGGTCTCCACTGCTCCAGAGTGGGGCTTTGTCTGAATGGGCCTGGGAGAGCTTCTTGGGGGCCTGCAATTCTGCCTGCAAGCCTTCTCCTGCTGGCCAGGGGCAGGGTGGGGTAAGGGCAGGGCGAAGGTGGGCTTAGGGTTTGGGACAGGGCAGGGTTAGGGTAGGGTCATTTGTAATCAGGGTCAGGCCTGTGCCCAGTTTAGGGACTGGGGTCAGAGTGGTGGGGGTTAGGGTGAGGCCATTATAGGGTTATGGTTCAGATCAGAGTTGGGTTTTGGAGCAAATTTGGGGCAAGGTTGAGGTCAGGGGTGTGGGTATGGGTCTGCCAGAGGTTGCAGTTGGGGCAGAAGTTGATATGCCATAGAGCTCACCTTTGTGGCGCATCAAGAGCTGGCAGAGATGGCTCACCCCTTCCAGGCTGTAGTGCTGGGTGACCCTGTCTGGGTCCTGGCACAGCATCCCCAGTATGCCCACCAGTTGCCCAATCCATTTGAAGTTCTCCTTTGGCTGTGTTGAGAGTAAGGGAATCACCGATGGCAGAGTCTCCCTGCAGAACTCTGCCACGCACTCACCCAGCACAGCCTACATCAGAGGTGACCCCTCCAATGGTGTGGCAGGGCCAGGCCTGGGGACTGGGCAAGACATTCAGTAATCAAGAGAAATAATATTTTAATGCAATATTTAGAAAAATCAGAATAAATGCAAAAAACTCCGTGATGAACAAAGTCTCAAAATTGTCAATGAAGTCAGGATCCGACCCTGTCACCTCACCTGTCCTACCCTCATCCTGGTCCTGGTTTAATAAGACTTTATTTACAAAAGCAGGTGGAAGCCCATGGGCCATAGCTTGGCAAACTGATCTTTAAAAACATCACATGAAAATGTGAATGCTCTTGGCTACAGAGTCTTTGTTGCCATGGTAAATTTCATGTGCAAGGTGAGTACCTTTCTTGCCTTACTCTGGTCCAGTCCTGCGATGTTGAAATGGATTTTGAGTAAACTGAAGCCACTTTAATTGTCCTCCTCCTCCTAGGAGCGCAGGGTCTTTCCCTTGGCAGAACAGCCCCTCTCCCTCCAGCACTTCTGCCTCCTGCCCTGATTAGGCCAGGCAGCCTCCAGGCATTAGGGCAAAGAACTAAATTCCCTGTCCCCCCAGTCTGCCTAGGGAGTTAATGCAGTTTGGGTGGATACTCGCCAAGTGCACTCTCTGACCACGTGTTGATGCAACCCAGGGGCAGTAGCGACAGGTGGGGGCTGTGAGTCATGTGATGATGAGAGCTGCACTGGTGGGGGACTGGTGGGGTGGCCACTCCATGCAGCAAGGAACCCTACTGTTCTGCAGGGCCGCACAGTTTACCGGCCTTCTCACAGCCTCCACCTCATCCGAGCCCCACCATATCCCTCTAGGGAGGGGCCATTTCCATCCACTTTACAGGTGAGAAGCTGGGGCTGTGGAAGAGAAACACCTGTACAAGGCCTCAGGTGCATGGACAGGTGGCTAGCTCCAGGGTCAGGGGTCAGGGGTCAGAGGTCAGCGTGACCTGCCTTCAGATCCCAGCTGTGAGGCCTCGGGCAGGTCCTCCCCCTCCCCACCTGTTCCCTCACTTGCAAGGAGGGAGATTGCCTGGGCCACCTGTCAATATGGAGCCCGGCCGGGGTGCAGGGGACTCAGGGATCCAGCCTGTCCTGGAGGCAGGTGTTCAGGGGGCCTTGAACCCTACGAACCCTGGCAGGATCCGGGAGGACAGAGGCTCTGGCTGGGCCCCAGTGATTCAGGGCAGGAGGCCCAGCGGTAGAGTGGGCGCGGGGCGTGGGACACGCGGGCCCCGTACTCACGTCCAAGTAGCCACCGTGGTTCAGGAATTTGAGGAGGATCAAGCAGCTGTGCACAGCCCGCTGCCGCTCCTGCGCCTTCTCCGACGCCAGCCAGACTTACAGGTGCTGCGGGGCGGGCAGGGCCAGGGAGAGGGTTCTGCGGGGCTGTCGGCCCAGGCCCCGCCTACCACCTGCCCAGGTACCGCCCACTGGGCTCAGGCCCGCCCACCCGGCTCCGCCCGCCCGGCCCCGCCCTTCCGCAAGGCTCCGCCCTTCCGCAAGGCTCCGCCCACCCCGGCTCCGCCCCTCCACAACGCTCTGCCTCTGGGTTTCAGATGCTCGCAAAGGCATCTCAAAACAGATACGTTCAATAGTTTTAGGCCAAATCTGAGCTCTTTATTGAGGTGATATATGATGAGATGTATAATTAGTGACTCTGAAGTAGGATGAAGGTACATAGTATTTGGAGATTCTGTGACCCACTGGTGTCCCAGAAACATATCTGTGACTTCCCCAGGACCCGCTGGGCTCCTCCGCACTGCACATCTTTGCCCCGTGTGCCCTCTGCCTGCTGGGCCCTGCCCTTCCCTTCTCTGCCCGTGACTGCCTTAGTCCTCATCCAGGGCTGCGAGAAGCCTTGACCTCTGAGCCAGAGCCAGCCTCCCCTCCCTGGACCTCTGCCTGCCCGGGACTGTCATTGCCTGCTCTCTGGTCTCCCTCCTGACAAATGAGGGAGGGCAGGTTCGAGTAGGGGCAGCGGGTTTGGAGACCCTTCAGGGGGCACTGCAGGGGAAGTTCTCCTGGAGGGAAGGCCTGGACCTTTCCTTCCCTCTCTTCCTTCCTTCCTCCCTCCTTCCCTCACTCCCTCCCTTCCTTTCTCCTTCTTTCCTTCCTTTTCTCTCTCTCTCTTTTTTTTTTTTTTTTTTTTGAGACGGGGTTTTGCTCTTTCACCCAGGCTGGAGTGAAGTGGTGTGACCTCAGCTCACTGCAGCTTCCGCCCGCCGGGTTCAAGCAGTTCCTCTGCCACAGCCTCCCAGGTAGCTGGGATTACAGGTGCCCACCACTATGTCTGGCTAATTTTTTTTTTTTTTCATATTTTTAGTAGAGACAGAGTTTCACTATGTTGGCCAGGCTGGTCTTGAACTCCTGACCTCAGATGATCCATCTGCCTCGGCCTCCCAAAGTGCTCGGATTACAAGCATGAGCCACTGTGCCCAGCCCATTAGCCCTCTTTCCACCAGGCCACCTGCTGTCACTTCCTCCCCAGTTCCCCAAACCACTGTGATCCCTAAGTGGGGGCCCTCACCCCTCTTCACTCCTGGACCACTCAAAACCCCTAGGTCCAGCCCTGCCTCCTTTGAGAAGTCCTCCTTTGGGCTCTGGCCACAGGCCAAGGACTCCTTGGCCCCAGCTGCCTGGCCTCCCCACAGCCTCACTGACAGCAGGAAATGCAGCTTGTCGGTGGTGGGGTTCTCCATGATGAGGCTTTGCAGCATGAGGTCCAGCGCCTCCATGGTCCTGTTGTACAGGCACTGCATAGAGGCAAGGGTGGTCAGGCAGCGCCATGCCCCGGTGGACGCAGGGCTTGAGGGGGGCCCACCTCCTGCATGTGCCAGGCTGCTCATCACTGGGGCTCACCACTGGGCCTGTGAGGGGGCTGCCATGGCCCCCATTTGGCAGATATGGGGACTGGGTGGGGAGGCCTCTGGTGATCACACAGGGCACAGGTTTGTCAGTGGCACAGGGGAGTTTGTTCCTTGCAGGGTGAGCTTCACAGGAGGGGCCCCGAGTGATCCCAGGGTCCCGAGCTGGAAAGGGCCATGTGCTGGGTGAATGGTCTAGAGGTTCTTAGGTTTGAAGCAGGGGTGGGTGTCTTCATTTTGCCAGGCCCTGCCAATGATGCCGTGGGCCGAGTTCTGGGTCTTACATGCCATGCCCCCAGTCTTTACTGCTTTGCTCGCTGGGCAGGTTCGGTGAGGGAGGGTACCACAGAAATGCCTCCGGCTCCCCTCTCCTCCAGGGCCCACCAGAAGCAGAGCCCTCGGGCTCTGGCCACTCTCTAGGTGCCCTGGGGAACCTGCCTTACCTCTCTGAGCTTACTTTCCTCGCCTGAGAAAGGCATGAGTCTTGCCCCACCTACAAGGTGGAGGCAGGGACGGGAGCAACGGGAACCCCAGCTCAGTGCTCCCAGTGCCAGAGCCCCAGACCCCGGGTGGCACTTCCTGGGTGAGCCAGCCTCAGTGTCACCATGTCACCAGGTAATGAGGACACTCTGAATTGCGGTGGGATTGGGGGTGGCCAGGTGCCACCCTTCTGGAGGGCTGTGTTGGCCTGGGCTCAGGGTACCCTCGTTCTCTCACCACCCCACCCTAAGTGTCTACCTGTCTAGTTCCAGCCTGGACGCAGCCTTGGGGGGCGCAGGCAGGGTTCAAACCCGGACTTTCCCCAGAAAGCCTCATTTCTCTGAGCGTTTCTTTACCCTGGGCTGCTGTGGGGAGGGTGAGATAAGGGAGCCAGGGCCTGGCACCCAGCAGGGGCTCTGTTCACTCCGGCTCTGGCCACAGGCTGAGGACCGCGCACCCTCAGGAGGCCAGGTGTGGTGACTGTGTCCAGGAGCCACACATGTACCGGCTGGTGGCCATGGGCAATGGCTGGTGTCTCCCTGCAGGGGCGGCTTCTGCTGAACAGGACCCAGGAAGGGGTGGGCACTGGCCAGGCCGGGACAGCAATCCTGGAGCTCCTTCCTCCAGCCTCCTGGGGTGGCAGAGTGGGCTGAGTACACCCTGGGCACAGCACCACCACTTAGTAGCTGTGTGGTGAGACTGGGCCCACCCAGCAGGGAAGGAGACTCACTCCAGGTGTTGCAGGGACCCCTACAAGGTTGGGGAACTCATCTCCCTTCCTCTCTGCTTCCCTCGGGCTGCTGGGGAGCTCGGCGAAAACTCAGACCTGACTCTGCCGCGTAGCATGGCGGCCAGGCCTGCAGGGCTGGACAGCGCAAACTTGCTGGCCTCTTCTCGCTCACTCTCAGGGTCGGCAGGGAGGGAGGGAGGCCACACACACTGCTGTCTACAGAGCGCTCCTCTGCGCCACTGCTCACCCAGTGTCTCTTCAGTCACCAAGCATTAAGTACCATTGGGTCTGTTAGTATCATCCCCATTCCACAGGTGGGCAAACACCGCGGCATATAGCACACAGCAGACCTGCAGGTGCTCAGGGCAGTGAGGCAGCTGCCCCGGTCCCCAGCCCCGGTGTGTCCAGCCTGCCCGCTCTTGAGCCGTGGGCCGCGCCTGGATATTGGGTGGCTCCAGAAAGAGGCAGGTGTGCTTCTCCAGGGCGTCCAGCGGCGGCAGGCCAAGTATGCTGTGGAAGCATGTGGACAGGAGCTGGGACTTCCTTTCCAAGGCTATGGGAGGCCTCAGCTTGCTGTTGGGAAGACGGAGGGCAGTGAGCATGGGGCTGGGGCCTGGGGACGTCCCTGAGTGGCGTCTGCCTTCATCCCTGCAGACTCCTGGCCTTCTGCTGTTCACAGAGACTCTTGCACACACATCTGCCTCCCTGGCCTGCCTGTCTCTGCAGGGCCTTGCACTGGGGCATCCTGGTCAGGTGATGTCCTGGTCCATCTCTCTCTTAGGCCCCGGCTTTAAATGCCGTCCTGATGCTGATGCTCCCAACTGTGTATCTCCAGCCTGGGCTTCTTCCCTGAACCCCAGATCCATGTCGCCAACGGCCCACAGCCCCTCAGCTTCTGTCTCAGGAGCATCTCCGTCTTGACGCGTTCCCCCAGGGCGGCTACACCCACAGCCCGCCCCGTCACGGGGGAATGCAGGGCCGCCCTCCGTGTTGCTTGGGTGAAGCCTCAGCACGTTCTCCATTCTTTTCCCTCCCTCGCAAGCTGCCTCCAGCCTCCAGTGGCTCCCGACGGCTCTGCTGTCACCGTTTGTTCGGCATTTAAGGACTTCCTACTGTTAATCAGACCGCCTGTTACTTTTCTCCTGGATTGTTCTGGGGGTCCTGACTGGTCCCCCATTTTCTCTTGGAAGCTGCATCTACTCCCCACCCTGGATCCAGACATTCCTTCTCAAATGTAACTCCCCCAAGGCCCCACCTCGCTCAGCCAAGAGGCAGCGGCCTGCAGTACCTGGACGACCTTCCCCATGGCTCCGGGGCCCTCACCCATTCCAGCCCTGCCCTGGCCCCTGCGGGTCCTCCAGCAAGCCTGCTGCACGCCGGCCTCGGGGCCTTTGCACCTACTGTCCCTTCAGCTGGGCACTGCAGGGCTACTCTTGCAGCCTTCCAGGTCTTTGCCCAAAAGTCCCCTTTTAGGGCTGCCTAACCCAGCCTCAGGCTGTGCTGGAGCCTAGGAGAGCATGGGGCCCATGTGGGCGCCCAGTCCACCAAAATCAGTAAATGAGTTCTCCTCCCAGAGTCTCCTGTGGCGCTCAGGCCGTGAGGATCTTACCTTGCTCCCCAGCCCCGTCTGTGTGGTTTGATCATGGTCTGTCCCCACCCCCCAAGTGCCACCTCTTAGAGAACGGGGCTGTTCCCCGCTGGCTCACAGCTGGGTCCTCAGACCCCAGAATGGTGCCTGGCACACAGAATGGAGCTCTATTTCTGACCTCCCCATGTCGCTGCCTGCTGGCTCCAAACACGAGTGGAGAGGCTGCTATGTGGCGCCGAGGAAGCCCTGCAGGAGGCAAGGGACCTACCAGAGGCTGGATGCGACGTGCAGGGCCTGCTGGAGACTTTGTGTGCACAGAGTGTCCTGGGGCTCCTTCTGCATCAAAACCTGCAAGTCCCAGGTGACACCAAACCACTCAGGCCTGGCCCGTCCCACTTCCAATGCCAGGTCCCCCCACCCCAGGAAGACCTCAGTGCCTGGCACCCCCTAGAGCCACAGGACTGGGCTCCAGTGCTTCCCCCACCTGGAGAGGCCTCTAGGCTGCCCCGCCCAGAGACCAGGGCTCCAGAGCAAAGCCACTGGAGTCAGGACATGCCCTAGAAACCCACCCCACCCCTTCCCCAGGGGGTAAACTGAGGGAGGCTCGCCCAGGGCCTGGGCTGCACCATCAGACACTGGAGGAGCTCAGAGCTCTGGGAGAACTTGTAGCTGTGAGCCCCCTCACTCCGGCTCACTGCACCTGTCAGCATCAGGGAGGCCGTGAGGAAGCTCTGCTTCAGGGTCTCGTCCTGGCACAGGGGACAGGGTCGGGCTCAGGGCTTGGGAGTGCACAAGGGACAGGGTCAACGCCCAGGGCGTGGGAGTGTTCGGGGGCAGAAGAGCGTGAGCCTGTGATCTAAGGGGCAGCAGTGTCATGGTTAAAGGGGGCAGCAGAGACCGCCCACCGGGGCCCGCACGTGGGGGGCTTCCTAAGGAGTGGGGCTGCACGGTTTTGTTTCAGACTGTAAGTTGACAATGTTTAAGCCCTGGGAGAGTGCCTACAAACCTCCTGAGATGGGGCAACCCCACACCCCAGGGCCACGTTAGTGGTGACCTGGGGCAGCGATGTGGCCACTTTGGGGTGGGGGCGGCTCTGCAGGGCCTCTCACAGAGCCCTGGGTTGGAGGCCCCGGTGTGGAGTGTGAGTCAGGGGCCGTCCTCACGGCATGGTGGACGTCAGCCTGGCCTCTCCATACCCGTGACCCCTAGCCCCAAAATGAAACCCAGGGTTTGCTTTAAGAGGAGAAGTGAGGGCAGGGATATCATGAAGCCCAGGGAACTTTCGGTGGGATGGACGGATGAAACCGTGGGGCCACCAGGAAGCTGGGCCTGGTTCTTCATGATTCCAGGCTGGGGTGGGGTGTAGGGGTGGGCTCCAAGGAGGTCCTAGAATTCTCTGCTCTGAGAGGCTGGCGGGGCAGCTGGGCTGGGGCCCAGGACTGGGTCTTGGCGGGGAGGACAGGTGCTGGGACCCTGCAGGAGCCGTGGGGCCATACCCAGGAGCCGTGGTGGAAGTAGAAGATAATCCTGGACACGATGTTGTCCACCCATGGGAGGACGTGGGCGCGGGCCTTGGCCACCACCTGGCCGTGTGCCGGGAGGATGGTGCTGCTGGCCCATTCCCAGTGCAGGTCCTTCGAGTCCTGACCGAGGGTGGCAGGCAGGTGAGGGTGTCAGTGCCCTGCCCGACCCTCCTCTGGGGTGCTGTGGAGGTGGTTGCCCAGCTCTAGCAGGGCCCTGGGGTCAGGCGTCCATCTTAAGGGGGCAGTGGGCCTCCGTGGACTTCAATCAGAAAGCAGGGGGAATGGGCCGGCTCCTTGGGGGACGACTTGGGCCTTGTTAGGGCCACAGTTTGGGCGGGGTGTTAGGGCAGGGTGTGTGCAGGGAGCTCAGCTCTGCTGGAGCTGGCTAGAGTCCAGGCCCCTCGCCTTCCCCTCCTTGTGGTGGCCCCTCCCACACCTACCTCCTTCCCTCCTGCTGGATGGGGCAGTGTCCTGGGAGTCCCCAGAGGCTGGGCTTCATGGAGGGTGGGGGTCCTGGTATTGGCGCAGGAGTCCCAGCCCCTGCTGATCCCTGAGGACCCCTGAGCCAATACCTTTGAGGAGAAGCTGTGCAGGCTCCAGCTGATGGGTCTGCTTCGGCCACTGGTCCAGGACGGCCCAGACGTCATGCAGGTGGGGGGCAGCCGCCAGCCCCACGGTCAGAGCCATGCCCTGTGGGTTGGGGACCAGGGTCATTCATGAGGAGATCCCAAAAGCCAGGACTGGACCTGGTTCCTCCCCTGGCAGGAGTGAAAACTGAGGGGGGAATGGGATCCCTATGGGGGTTGGGGCTCACTCAGGGCTCCAGGGCAGCCAGTGCCCACCCCATGCTGTCAGGACCTGTGACTGAGCCCACCCCAGGGGACATGGCTTATGGGGTCTGGTGGGAGGAGTGAGGGACTCGGGAGGCAGAGGTGAGTCCCTGGAGGCCCACTACCCCTCACTGCCGGCGATGAGCAGGCCTCTTCCAGGGTGGGATGACAAGCTCTGTGTGGGATGGCTGAGATCAGGGCGGTGACTGGGGTCAGGGCTTAGCCTGTGATCGATGTCAAGGCTCAGCCATAGACCAAGGTCAGAGCTTAGTTCGTGTCCAGGGTCAGGGCTGGGGTGAGAACAAAAGGCTCCGGCTGTCATCAGGGTTCAGCATGGTGTGACCAGCCATCAGGCTCAGCCTGTGGTCAGGGTCAGGGGGTGGTGGGACAGGGTGGGGCCTGGGTCCTCACCTCTCTCTGCTTGGGCCACTGGTGGGGCGTTTCCAGGAGCACTTGCAGGTGTCTCTTGACCGTGGCACCGTTTTTTTTTTGGCTTGAAGGATCAGCCCGTAGTAGGTGAACAGGAAGACCTGGGGGAGGGGCAGCATCTTGTCCACCTCTTCTGAGCAGCTGCCCCTGACCATGCTCGCTTGGCCTCCCTGGGCCCCTGCAGCCACCGCACCACCTGGCTCTGGATGGTCCAAGCCTCTCCTGTGGCCACGGTGCCTGCAGCTCAAGTCCTGTCCAGGCCACGCCCCTGCTTCAAGTCCACCAGCTGCTTTCTAGGGCCCTGGGCGTCCTGTGGACAGAGCCCCTGGGCCTGTGTAGGGGGCAGGCAGGGGCTGCTCCTGGAGGCGGAGGGTGGGGGCTCACCTTCTCAGGGGACTACTCCTGTTGGGTATGGCTGGGCATGGTGGGTGCCCACAGCAGCTCTTTGGACCACACATCCATGTTCAGGAACGGGACTGACTTGATGGCTATCTGTCAGCAGAGGCGCATGGAGGGCTGGAGTCATCTCTCCCTCTACCTGAGAGCAGGGCCTGGGATTCTAGCTGCCCCGGCCCACCCTGGCCACCCTGAACCCTGACTCCATCACCACCTTGACCCTCCCCTCTTTTGAGTCCCCAAGGCCCAGCTTTCTTCTTTGTTCAATGGCTCTCAGGGGCAGGGAACTCATTCCCCAAGATTCTTTCTGTGGAGGGGTTCAAGGTGAGGCTGGAAAACCAGGAAGCTGGGAGGCTGGAGAGTGGAGACCCGACTGCGTCCCCGGCACCACCCAGGAGTCTCCGATGAAGCAGATGCTTAGTGAGTGTCAGCTGAAGGCAGCCCTCTGTGGTGGGTGCCAGGAGGGCAGAGCCTCGTCCAGTTATTCACAGATCCCAGCACCCTCTGTGGTACCCGGCACGCAGCACATAGGCCATTAATTTTTAAAACCAAGGAATGAGAAATCAGATGAATGAATGAACTGTCCCTTCAAAATATAATGTCCTGAAAGTTCTGTTTCTAAGATCACATGATTTTATAACAATGATTACAATATTTCTCAATTTCAAGTGTTCCCAGGTTCTGTGATTCAACAATTTCAAGATATTTGATCCAAGGATTCTTTGGGGGTAGGTGATAATCCCCCCCAAATTATGATTCCAAACCCAAAAACCTTAAAAGCAAAGATTGACAAACGTGAAGATAAACATTTTAAGAAGCTTGTTCAGCAAAATTGCTGTCAATTAAGTTGAAAGACGAGGCGAAGTTTTGTTTTGAGTTTTGTTGCTGTCTATTGCCAAGGGTTAACATCCGAGATCAACAATCCGCACTTTATAAATCCATAAGAAGACGACCAACAAAACATGGTAAAATGATCAGGACATACGCACATGATGAAGATACTGTGCGTGCAACCTCGCTAATGCTTACGGAATGAAAATTAATGTAATGTTTTGACTAAGACTGGCAAAAAGTCCAACACTGACTCTCAGCAAGCAGGTGTCCTGTGGTGGGAGAGTGAATGGATCTGCAGTTCTGGAAGGTTCTGTCAATCTCAATTAAAAGGCAATATCGATATCAAAGTTTAAGATATACACAATTTTCCCAAGCAACTCCATTTCTGGAAGTTTGTCCTAAAGGAATACTAAATTGGTGATGCCGGGAGCATGAGGGGCATCTGGTGGGGCAGAAGACATAGGTGGGACTGTTTGCATCCTCCTTGGAGTTGATCCCCTGGTCCCTGGAATGGAAACGCCCCCTCCCCACTTATGGCAGAAGCTGGATGAGCTTGTCTGCCCAGGGTGTACCTCCTCCTGGCCATTTGTAAAACACTGGGGTACAGCAGGACCTGGAGGGGCTCTCTCACCCATAAGACAGGTCTCAGCAGAATCTCCATGAAACCCCAGCCCCCAGAAAGCCTCCAGGTCCCCCAGAAGTTCCCCTCCCCCAAATGTTCACTGTCTTTGTTCACTGTTGCATATAACAGCATCAGAGTTCCTTGCCTAAAATTCAAATTCCCGAGCTCAAAATTAAACATTTTTTCCCCCATAGCTTTGCAGCAACCTCACTGAATAGCAGACACTAAGCCACACTGACGTGATGCAATTTGTGGGACCTGGTGTGACTTTTTGTCTGCTTCTATAGCAGGGATGCTAATCTATTTCATTCTGCATCTGCCCAGACCCTGCTGAAGGTGTTCTTGGAATATGCAGTGTGTATATCGCATTACTTTAAAAAATATAAAATATTCTGATTTTTGAAGCATATCTCTTCCCAAAACTTTTCATTTTTAAAGTTTTAAGTATTAAAAAAACTCGAGGTATTTTAACTCACAATGAAGTGCACAGATCTTTGCTGTAGAGCTTGTGGGAAGTAGAAAATTTCCTTTTTAACGTTTCCTTTCTTGTTACAGAATAAGTGTGCTAATAGCTCTTTGTTAAGCCCTATCCTATGTAGCTGTTAAACATGCCATGCTTACAGGCACGTAGCACATTCTATGTCCTTGTGCTTTAACCAGGATATCTGTGCTGGACGTGCTCACAGGCATGTCCCAGCTCTCCATTGCTTTTACCTGTTTAGAAAAGTTTTAAGTTGTTAACCAATTGGGTTTTTTTTTTTTTTTGGGTTTTAATGTTTATTTACAGGAGGCTGCAAGATATGAAATTCCATATAGAAATGAGAAATGTAGCCAGAGGACAAGCTTCATACAGTTTGCACAGTTGGAACTGTTCAAGTATAGTTTCAGTGTAAAAAGTGCTACAGCATGGATTAGTCCCATTTCTTGTCAGTGTTCTTTCTAAGGCAGATTTTAAGACACAAAAGGAAGCTGTGTGGGCTGTGACCAACTATACCAGTGGTGGCACAGTTGAACAGATTGTGTACCTTGTTCCTTGTGGCGTAATAGAACCGTTGATGAACCTCTTAACTACAAAATATACCAAGATTATTCTGGTTATCCTGGATGCCATTCCAATTGGGTTTTAGTTTAAATTGTGAGATCTGGCTCCAGCCAATGGAGATCAGACACAGCAGTAAGAACAATCCCAAATGTGTAAGGGATACATTTGTGTGTTTTCCTTTGTTCATTGTACTCTTGTGGCAAGATGGTTAGCAAGGGTACCCTTCCTGCAGTCCAGGAAGTAAAATAAAAATTGCGTTGCTGAAAGATCCTTTGCCTCAGTGCTAATTTTTCTTTGTGGCACCAAGCATCTATTTCCAACAGGGCTCATGGATCCAGCCCATGTAATTCACATCGTCTCAGGATAGGGAGCTGTTGCCACCACCCCAAAAAGCTCTCTCATGCCCCTTCCTGGTTAAGCTCCGTCACTACAAAACTGTTCTGATTTCACTGCAGATTAGTTTTGCCTTTCTAGACTCACGTGACCCTGGAAGCATGTCATTGGAAGCATGCAGTCTGTGATCTTCTGTGTCTGGTACTTTTTCACTCAGCATAAGGTTTCTGAGGTTCATCCATGTCATTGCATGTACTGAAAGTTCATTCCTCTTTTGCCATTTTAACTTTTATGATTTCATTTGCTTTGCTTGGTTCAGGTTTAACTTGATCCTTCTCTGGTTTCCTGAGATGGACACTTAGATGATTGACTTTAGATCTTTTCGTGGGGCTGTGCAGTATTCTGCCTGTCTGGGTTGTTTCTAGTTCAAGGCTAGAATGAATAAGCCTGCTATGACCATTTTTATAGAAGTAATTTTGTGTATGTGTGTTTTCACATCTCTTGAGTAAAATACTGAAAAGTGGGACTGCTGAGTCATATGTTAACTTCAGAAGAAAATGTCAGTTTTCCAAAGAGGCTGTGCCATTTCCCATCCCACCTTCAACGTTCTGCGCGCCCCACGTCCTTGCCAATGTCTGCCATGGTCCCTTTTTTCACCTGCGTGCCCTTGGCGCAGACGCGGAGGTGGCTCCTTGTGGTTTTAACTGGCGCTTCCCTGAGGATTAACGACGCTGATCATTTTTTCACTTGCTTATGGGTCATTCAGCTGTCTTCCTTCCTGAAGTGCTTTGTGGCTTTTTTGCTCATTTAAAAACTGATCCGTTTGTCTTTTGCTTACTGAGTAACAGAAGTTCTGTATTTATTCTGGATACAGTCTGTTGTCAGATACATAGATTGTGAGTATTTTCTCCAAGTCTGTGGCTTGCCCTTTTGTTTTCTTAGTGATATCAGTTGATGAGACGTTTTAATTTTGATAAACTCTAACATTTTTTTTTTCTTTATGATGATTACTTTCTGAACCCTAAGAAATATCTATCTACCTTAAGGCTGGCAAGATTTTCTTCCATGTTTTCTTCTAGACACTTTTTAATTTTACCTTTTACATTTTAGGTCTTGGCTCCATCTCTAATTAATATTTGTGAATGGTTTGAACTAGGCACTAAAGTTCATTTATTTTCTTACATATATGAAATTGTTTCAGAACTATCTGTTCAAGACTTTCCCCATTGAACTGCTTTGATACCTTTTTTTAAAAAAATCAATCAACTGTTTACATGTAGTTTGATATTGGATTTTCTATTATGTTCAGTTGATTTATTTGTTTAACCTATGCCAATGCCTCGTCTTGTTTGCTGTAGCCCTGCAGTAAATCTTGAAATCAAGTAGTGGATTTCTTGCAATTTTTTTCTTTTCCATAATTGTTTTGGCTATTCTAGGCTCTTCAGAATTTCTTTATAAAAATTTATTTCATAGCTTATATTTAATCCTACAATACAGTTTTCTGAGATTGATTGGCATTGCGTTCAATCTATAAATCAATTTTGGGAGAATCGACATTGTTATCCAATCATTTTGTCTACAAACATCATCCGTCTCCATTTTAAATGGTTGTTTTAATTTCTCTTTGCAATGCTTTTAAAAATATTGCATATGTTTTGTTGCCTTTATCTTTTTTTGTATCTTTAATGCTGCTGAAAATGTCATTTTTAAGAAAAATTTTATTTTCTAATTGTTCGTCAGCAGTATATAGAAGTTCAATTGATTTTTGTATATTGACCTCGTATCCTGAGATCTTGCTCGAGCCAATTCTTAGTAATTATTAATTCTAGTATTTTACATATGATTCTGTAAGACTGTCTATGAATATAGTCACATTGTCTACACAAGAGATAGTTTTACTTTTTCAATTGCAATCTCTATGTCTTTTTTCCCTTCTCCTTTTTCTTACCTTATTGCCCTGGCTCGCAACTTCAGTGCAATGTTGACTGGAAGTGGCGAGAAAGGACACCTTTGCCTTATTCCTGATCTTAGTGGGAAAGTGTTTGGTCTTTGATGATTAAGTGTGTTAACTGTAGCTTAAGATGTCCACTGTCACACTGAGGCAGTTTCCTTCTGTACCTAGTTTATTAAGAGTTTTTATCATGATCAGATGTTGAATTCTGTCAGATACCTTTTCCATATTATTTTTTATAAATATGATCAAACTTTTTCTGCTTTATTCTGTTAATTTGTTGAATTGCACTTATTGTTTTTCAAATATTAAATTGACCTTGTGTCCCTGGGATAAACCCTTCTTAATCATGGTATATTATCCTTTAATTCAATTTGCTAATATTTTGTTAAGATTTTTGAGTCTATTTTCATAAAATATATTGGTCCTTAGTTTTCTTTTTTTGGTAATATCTTTGGCTGTGTTGCCCTTATAAAAGGATTTAGGAAATTGTTCCTACCTTCTCTATTTTCTTGAAGAAATTTGTGTAGAATCAATATTACTTCTTTTTTAACTTTTTTGATAGAATTCACAGAGAAGTGCCTGGGCTTGAAGTTTTCTAAGTGAGAATGTTTTATGATTTAAATTTCTTTAATATAGATAGGACTATTCATTTTTTGTTTCTTCTTATGTCAGTTTGGTAATATGTGGTTTTTAGAGAATTCGTATATTCCATCTAAATTATCTAATTTATTGAATATTCATTATAATTTTCCAACGTCCCAAGGATTTGTAGTGTCGTTCCTTATTCCTTTCTGAAATTGGTATTTTGTGTTTTCTCTCTTCTTGATCAGCCTAGTGAGGGGTCGGTCGGTCTATCTATCTATCTATCTATCTATCTATCTATCTATCTGTTTATTATAGAGATTGGTCTTGCTCTGCTGCCCAGGCTGGAGTGCAGAGGTTTGATCCTAGCTCACTGCAGCCTTGAACCCCTGGGCTTAAGCAATCCTTCTGCCTTAGCCTCATGAGTAGCTGGACTATAGGTATAAGCTACTATGCCTGGCTATTTTTTTTTGAAGTTTTATTTTTTAAATCTCATATTCAATCCCAATATAAGTTTTTTTAGAGACAGGGTCTTACTACATTGCTCAGGTTGGTCTTGAACCCCTAGCCTCAAGCAATTCATCTGCCTCAGCTTCCAGAGGAGCTGGGATTACAGGCAGAAGCCACCGCATCTGGCTCAATGTATTGATCTTTTTGTTCTAGTCATTCTCTGTTTTTGCCCCTATTTGTTTCTTTGATTTCTGCTCTAGTTTGTATTATTCCTTCCTTCTACTTACTCTGAGTATTTGCTCATTTTTTGGCTAACTTCTTAAAACGGAGGCTTAGATAATTATTGATTTTATATCTGTCCTCTTTTCTAATATAGGCATTAAATGTAAATTTCCTTCTAAGCATTACTTTTTATTGCATCCCACAGATTTTCATATGTTGTGTTTCATTATCATTCAGTTCAAAATATTTTCTAATTTTCCTTGTGATTTCTTCCTCTTATTTAGAAATGTATTGTTTAATTTCCAAGGATTTGAAGTTTCTCCAGATATATTTTATATTGAACTCAAATTTGTGTTTTGGTTAGAGAATACACTCTGTTTGATTTCTGCCATTTTAAATTTGTTGAAACCTGATATATGGCCTGGCATATGGTCTATCTTGGTGAAATTTTTTTTTAATTTAATATTTTAAATTTTTGTGGGTATATAGCGCACATATAAATTTATGGGGTATATGGGATATTCTGCTACAGGCATGCAATCTGTAATAATCACATCAGGGTAATGAGGTATCCATCACCTCAAGCATTTATCCTTTGTGTTACAATCCAATTATACTCTTCTGGTTATTTTTAAATTTTATTATTTTTTAAGATGGGGTCTCACTCTGTTGCCCAGGCTGGAGTGCAATGGCATGATCTCAGTTCACTGCAACCTCCACCTCCTGGGTTCAAACAATTCTCTGCCTCAGCTTCTGAGTAGCTGGGACTACAGGCACATGCCACCACACCCAGCTGATTTTCTTATTTTTTAGTAGAGACAGGGTTTCACCATGTTGGGCCGGCTGGCCTCGAACTCCTGACCTCAGGTGATCCCCCGCCTCCGCCTCCCAAAGTGCTGGGATTATAGGTGTGAGCCACTGCGCCTGGCCCTCTTTCCGTTATTTTATTTTATTTTGAGATGGAGTTTCGCTCTGATGCCCAGGCTGGAGTGCAGTGGCGCAATCTTGGCTCACTGCAACCTCCGCTTCCCGGTTTCAAGTGATTCTCCCACATCAGCCTCCCGAGTAGCTGGGTTTACAGGCGCACGTCACAACGCTGGGCTAATTTTTGAATTTTTAGTAAAGATGGGGCTTCACCATATGGGCCAGGCTGGTCTCGAACTCCTAACCTCAAGTGATCTGCTCATCTCGGCCCCCCAAAGTGCTGGAATTACAGGGATGAGCCACCACGCCCAGCCTCTTTCAGTGATTTTAAAATCTACAATTAAACAGTGGCCCACACTCACCCTGTTGTGCTAGCAAACAGTCGATCTTATTCATTCTTCCTATTTTTGTAGCCATGAACCATCTCTGCTTCCCCCAACCACACCCTGGCGAATACTTTATTTGCACTTTGTTAGATGAACCGGTTAACGTTTTGTTCAAGTCTTCTCTGTCCTCGGTGAGTTTTGTCTTCTTGTTCTGAGTTGCGTGTATTGCTGTGGTGGTTTCTACTGGACACCATTCCAATACGACGATTCTCCTGCCGCCACCGCTTCTCCTGTCACCACCATCACAGCTCTCACCAAAGGACAACGGTGACATCAGCCAGGGTTTCCTGTACCACCGGCACGGTGCCCGACACTACATGGATTACTTCCTGTGCTTGTCACAACCACCCTGAGTGAAGTGCTTGGATTCCCATTTGACAGATGAGGAAACTAAGGTGCCTGGAGGTGAAGTGGGTCCCCCAGGTCACAGAGCGGTGACTGGTTGAATATGGACTTGGACCCAGGCGGCAGGGGTGTCGTGTTCCTTCTCTCAGCCATGTCAGCCCCTCACTCACTTGGGTGTGTTCAGAGATGGGCCTGCACAGCCTGGTTCTTGGCTGGGGCACCCTCCGTCCACCCGCCTGCTTCCTTCTTTCCGTGGCCACAGATCTGGCCAAGGTGTGAACCCCGATGCCCCAGTGACCAGCCCTGTGACTGGTCCTCTCCCTTTCCCAGACTTGTGTGCTCATCTGCAGAGTGGGGATCCTTCCTTCCTCCCTCCCTGCTCCCTCTTGCTCCCCCATCTTCCTCCCTCCCCTCTGCTTCTCTCCTTCCTTCCGCCTTCCCTTCCTCCTCCCTCCTCCCTTCCCCTCCTCCCAGGCACCCATCCCAGGCACCTCTCCCCTGCTGGCTCCATGGAAGGCCAGGTGACCGGGAGCTGGGCCCCTCCCTACCTGGCTCAGTTGCTCTTGCCAGCAGGCCTTGTCTTCCCAGCTGAGGAGCTCCTCTGTGGGGAGAGGGAAGGGTCACAGGGGCCTGTCTGACACCGTCACCTCCACGCATTAGTGCTGGCCTGGGCTGACACTGCTGGCCTCTGCCCACCCTGGCTCTGTGGGTAGGGCATGGGAGTTGGAGGGACGTGAGCCGGGTTGGCTCTGGGTTCAGAGAGCTGGGCTGGGCTTGCGGCCCTGCTGTCCTTACTGTGTGGCCTCAGGTGGGCTGGGCTCCCTCTCTGGGCCTTGGGCTCACTCATGGTGAATGGAGGGGCATTGCCAAGCATGGCCCCTCAAGAGTGGGAAAATAAGGCTTTGGGAGGGAGGCATTGTGAGAGTGGAGAGCTTTTTGGGAACTTTGGAACCTACCTCAGAGGGAGAGGCTGCTTTGGGGAGAGATCTGGTGTTCTTAGCAGTACCCCCAGGTGCAGAGGGACCTCCACCAAGCCTGCCAATCCTGGGGTGGGGTGGGGGGCAAGGCCAAGCCAAGCAGGGTCCTGCTTCTCCCCAGCCTTAGGGTCCAAACACCCCTGCTGGACCTGGGCCTCCTTGCAGGTCACAGGTCCTGCCACACCCCAACCCCACCCCTCACTGTGGCTGCCCACCAATTCCTCCTGAAGGCTCTTGGCAGAGGGAGCTTCCCTCCTCACCCACCTACGCATATCTCTAGATGTGGCCTACACTGGCTGCCTCCTCCAGGAAGCCCTCCTTGATGGCCCCTGGGCAGCTGGTCCCTCTCCTCTCTGGGCTCCCCCAGCTGCTCTCAAGGCAGCCCTGGACCCACTGTCCAGGCCAGCCCTTCCCGTAGCTTAGAGGCCGCGGCTATGGTGGATGAAGGGCCCAGACACTGCAGGCGGCAAAGGCCGGGGGTGGCCCTGGCCCGCCATGCTGCCTCTGAGCTCTGTCTCCTCCTCTGAGCAGCTTGTTCCAAGCCCTCGCATTTTCACATGCCAGGGCTCATTTGTGTGCCCGCCTGCCATGTGTGGCCAAGGGAGGAGACAGAGGCAGCAGCTGGTCGTGGAGTTGCCCAGCCGTGTGCCAGCGTCACACCTGTCCTAGGTCACCGACGGACCCTCCTCTGTCATCCTGGCTCTGCCCAGGCCCAGCTGTTGCAATACTGACAGCAGGAGTGGGTGAGCCATCGGAGGGGCTGGCACAGCTGGGCCTGGGTTGCTCTTTCCAGGGAGGTCCTGAGCACGGCCTGGGCCCTCTGAGGGGTGGGGGACAGTGGGGATCCTCAGGGCAGCAGCCTGTTCCTGCTTGGCATGAAGCTGCCTGACGTTGCACAAGTGACATGTAGCCCCTGTGCCCTGCCCGTGTGGAGCCTCAAAGCCCCCCTCTTGGACCACTCTCTGTGACCTGCCCCATCCTGTCCGAAGCCTCGCGCCCACATACCACGGGAGGACAGGACGCCCATCACATAGAGGAGGCTGCGGTGCGGGAAGATGCCCGTCAGGAGCTCCGTCTCCAGATGCTGCACCGCCACCCGCCAAGAGTGCCTGCAGATGGCCACCAGCACGTTGCTGGCCACGTCCTGGTATATGTCATCCAGCTCCTGGGTGGGGTGGGGGCAGGTGGGGTGGGAGGTACATCAGAGCAGCTTGTTCTGAGCCCTCACGTCTTCCTATGCCAGGGCTGGTTTGAGGGGCAGGACAGCTGCCACGGCCCATGTTTCTTTTGCTGGAAAACTGAGGCTGAGGGAGCCTGAGGCCATCCTGGTCTGTGTCCATTTTTGGAGCCCCTCCTCCCCCTCCTCCTCTCTGTCTCTGAGTCCCTCCTCCCCCTCCTCCTCCCTGCCTCTGAGCCCCTCCTCCCCCTCCTCCTCTCTGTCTCTGAGTCCCTCCTCCCCCTCCTCCTCCCTGCCTCTGAGCCCCTCCTCCCCCTCCTCCTCCCTGCCTCTGAGCCCCTCCTCCCCCTCC